CACCCTGGCCACACCCACCCCAGTCCCCGGAGGTCAAACCCAACCCTGATGCATCCCTCAATGAAATCGAATTTGACACCCCTAAGTTAGAGGAATGCTACAGTAGACAATATTATGAGTGTAGGTTGTAGCTGAGAAGAAGCATTAATTTGCACGAGTGGAGGTTCTGCTCAGATTAGTGTCTGTCACATGAAACTTCCCTCTGCAAAATATACAAAGAGGCATTTTCAGAAATGAAGGACATGGAATTGTTATAACTCTGTCCATCATCAAACAGGCCAGTTCCTCCGTAAGAGAATGAAGAGGGACAAATGAACCATTTAAAAATAGAATCTGTATTCTCTGTTTCCCTGCAGAACAAAATTATAGACAGCACAAAATGATTGGCAGACTATGCTGGAAGCCTTGGCAATAAGACCACCACAGTTCGAATAAAGCAAACAGTAAAAAAAAAAAAAAAAGTGTTCTTGGCAAGTAATTTTGATTGCAAATTATAATACAGGTCAATGCCTATCCAAGTATCTACTCTTAGTTTAATACCATTTTAGATTCTTTAAATGCCATAGAACTAAGATAAATTAACTACAAATATAGCAACTTGACCGGCTTGCAGATTGAATTGGAAATATATCAAATGTATGACATTTGAAACATTGCATTGTTTTATAATTTGTTTCATTTCCACAGTAAATAATTTTTGAAAAATTAATAAAGAATATACTATTAAATTGAAATTTGTAAAATAGTGTTATATAGGATGGGATACAGTTCACAGTCTGCATGTTTAGCTTCAGCAATTCTCCCGATTTTTCTATTATATAAAGATGGAATTATAAGTCTCAGAAGCACCATTTCAGAACCAGCTTAATTTAGTTTACAAAAAGCAATATTGAAGTTTTCATTCATATTAAACTTTGGGATTTTTTTTTCTATGTGTGATATGGAACCTCAAAATATTAATGTTTTCATAATGTGTTAAACTGGAACATTACATAAATGACTGGTATTCAGTGAGGGAAAGCTTGTTGATTTTCATTCATCAATCAATCACCCTTTATGTCCCAGGCCTAATACACAGACTCACACAAAAGAAAATAGTTCAGAAGCTTTGCTTTGGTTGAGTGATTACAAAGGCAGTAAGCAGGGCATGTACACAGATGCTTAAGGAGTCCTGAATCCCTTAGAAACTTACAATAAGCAAAGTCCAAGCAGCAAGCAGAAGCATTGTCAGGGGTCATAATACACCTGGTAAGTCATCAGTTGATCTGGGTGCAAAAGAAGAGCTTTGATAGGCAAGAGTTCAGAGTGCAGTTTCAGTAAGCAATGCACTTGTTCCCAACGAAGGGAGCTAGAAGAGCAGTTGCTCCTGAATTGTAATGGTATCTGGGAATGACCTTAGGACACAGAAAGAAAAATCACAACCCAGACTACTGTCGTGCAAAAGATATCTCATCCCACTAACAGAAAAGGGGCACGGGATGTGTCTCAGAATGAACCCTCCCTAGTTTTCTGGAAAGAAAACATAAAAGAGGAATGATATGTTTTCATACTTACAAGAGTCTGTTACTGTAAACTTACAATACTTACAAGTATTAATTTAGTATTAATGTTCATGGTTTGCACTTCATATCTTGACTACCTCAAAGGGCAAACATAATGGTGGGTGAAGCCAATCAAGGCTGGCAATACCCCTGACATACAATGGGGCTGAGCGCCATTGCCCAAGGAGCACTCTTTGGGGCTCAGTGGTCTTTCCAGATACAGTTCCTCACCTTCTGAAAGTGGAAACAGCTGCTGATTGCTGGGTGGATCAACTGCAAGTGATTGAGTGCACAGTTCTTCAGACTGAGATCCATCTGGCTCTTCCAGGAAGCTAGTGACTATGACAGTTTTCATATAAAATTCCTGTTTTGCAACATTTTCCAGATTCCAAAACTTTCTTGAAAAGGTTGATCCATATTTTATGGGTACCAAAGTTAGAAAAGACTATTCTGGAAGTATTGTATGAGATTATAATGTTAGGAACTATGAAAAAAAATGCTACTTGAGTACCCACCCTGTCCCACTCTTTTTAATTCATTGCTATTGGGTTCCTTCCTTCTTTCCTCCATTTTTTTCAAAGGTGGTAGTTTTGTAATGAACCCTATAATTTGTATGATAATGGATTTTCCTTTCTGTTTCACAGTATACAGTATTATTTTTCAGTCTTGGCCATTGGAATGGCTTGGCCATTTAGAATTATTCAACAATCCTGGCCATTGCAGAGAAACCTAAGAGGCAAAGCTCATATATGAGAAAGATTGAAAAATACTGATCCCTTAAGTAGCTTCCAACAATAGATATCAGATGAATTAAAGCTACATAAAAGGGAAAAAATGAGAAGTTTTCCGATACACACATTTATATTATTATATTGGAAAGGCATGAATAGCCATTAATATGAATCTCTGTCCCACTTTGGCCTTCCATAAAATGTAATAAAGAAAACAAATCTCTTTGCACATTCTATGGGTATGTGAAGATATGCTAAGAATGAATGGGAATAAAAACCAGGCAAATAAAAAGATGGTCCTTCCATAGTTTAAATATAAAGCCCTAAAAAGGGAAAAAAACACCCGGCTTTCTTACAATATTTTTGGCTCTGTCCAGCATGACCCTTTAAAAAGTGTTGGTGCATCTATTGAGCTGAATATCATCAAAATATTATTTAAGTTGATACAATAGAATGGATAGTAAAAGAAATGGGAATACCAAATCTTTATTTATTCTAAAAGGGGAAAATAAATCTTTTGGTTTTGGTGGGTTCTTTTGCATTAGAATTAAAGTGTTGTTTTTCAATGCATTTTATTTTTAACTTCTAATTTCTCCCTTTTGACAGCCTGATTGCTGGTTTCAAGTATGTCTTTATCTGGACATAATGTTCTGTTTGAAGTATTGTGGGATCTGAAAGAGTATTTTGCAATCAGAAACTCTTCTGGTTGAAAAAATTAATTGTTTTGCACAGAAATGTAATACATATTTGGATTTGGGGAACTGAATATAAGATTGTCAGATTTTTCATTGTATGTCCACCTACATGAGCAGCAGGGTTTTCAGTATTACAGATACAAAGTGGATATGTTAAATTCCTTGGTTGAGTTTTAGGTAGTAAATATCAAGTATTATAGAGATCTTCAAGATGTTAAATGTATTGATTTTGCAGATTGAAATAAAGAAAGGGTTGAAGCAACCACTTTGCAGAACTTACAATGCTGAGCTAAAGAAATTCAGAACTCATTAAGTAATTCAGAATATATTAGATTAATCAAAAAGTGCTATTCATACATGGAAGGTCAGTATATGCCTAACTAGAAAAAAAAAGCCACAGACATTTTGATTTTACAATCAGATGGGTAAGTCTGAATCTTCCATATCATTCCTATTTTAACTAGGCATGGGGCAACAATTCAAAATACCAATGTTCAACTATGTATGTAACCCTGCTGAAATCGTTACACATTGAATCTGAGGCAGTAAAAGGACACAGCCCTTTTCGCAATACCATCCTTCACATATTAGCATTAGGATAATTGGTGTGGAATGGAAAGAACTATGCAGCATTTTAGGAGAAGGGGTGTCTTTTTCTGTCTGACCCTAATAGGGAGTCAGTAAGGTCTGAAGCAAGAGCACCATGCCCTCATTTACTCTCTGAATTCTAAATATCTCCCCTCAGTAATAGGCTTTGTTCATCCCTATTAGGCCAGATTTGCCTTCAGGAAAAAATCATCTTTGAGTAGAAGATGTCAGGTCAACTGAATTCTGTTGTGAGTTGATATTGAAGTCTTAATGAGTTAACTTTGAGTCATACGTCAAAGAATTTAGGTTAAAGTGAATCTTTGTGATTCAGTAGTCAAAATGTAGGAGGTATTAAGTTATTTCAAGTACCTTAAAATGAAACAACTTTGGAGCATTCCTAAGTAATACTCTTTCTTTTCTCAAACATTATTTGAAGTTTTGCATTCATTTTCAAAATTGGTGTCCTGAGTTTGGTTTTCAAAGATTCTGCTAAAGTACTGTTTCAGTGTAGTCTCAAGAAAAGAATCATCTTCTTTTTTTTTTTTACATCAGTCTAATGCCTAAAGCTTTTAGAATCTGACAAAAGAGTAAGATTGGAAATATAATAGTTTTCTCTCTTTTCTAAAACAGGGAACTCCCAAGTTGCAAAATTTTTAGTTTAAAAAAATACAGGGCAGTAAAAAAATTACTAACAGAAAAAAAAAGGCAACGGAAAGCATTTGAAAAGCACAAGGCAAAAGATTTAGACATAAAGACAACAAAAGATAAAAACAAAGGTATTGTGTTATTCTTGGACACTTCTGATTCTGTTCTGATAATCGTTCATTTCATTTCATTTTTTTTTTCCTGTTCACTCATTTCCAATTTTCAGAGACTGCCAAGACAAGTACCTGCAGTTTTCTTGGCAAGGTTTTTCGGTAGTGGTTTGACATTGGCTCCTTCCTAGAGCTGAGAAAATGTGACTGGTCCAAGGTCACCCAGCTGGCTTTGTGCCTAAGGTGGAACTAGAACTCACAGTCTCCCAGTTTCTAGTCTTAACAATTACACCAAACTGCTCTTTCATTTGTATAAATTTTTAAAATACTAAAAAGCAAACTTTTAGAGGCCATATGTTTGGTCTAAATCTATCTATCTATCTATCTATCTATCTATCTATCTATCTATCTATCTATCTATCTATCTATCATCATACTTGGCCTGCAAATTAGCATATAGCAAACTAGATAGACTTCGTTGCTTGTTAATCTTGTTCTAGACATCCAATAGTTTTCAATCACAATCATAAAGGCAAATCCTTTATTGGTTTGAATTTGGTTTGGAATAAGCTCCAAATTCTGTGTCCATCTACTATCTTATAGTCATTTTAAATCAATGTGGGTGAAGTGAAATGGGCTAAATGATACTTAGGGGTAGAATGGCAAATAAATAAGCATTTAATTCCTCTCTATAGGCTTGAACTCCTTCAGCCCCAAATCAATTATTTATTTTATTATTTTACATCTGTGTTTTTTCTCCAAAAAAGTTTGATAGGAGGACCCACAGTTCTCCCATCTGTATTGCTCTTCCCATTATTTTCATGCATGTGATTTTGAATTCTAATTTCTCCATTCTTCTTTGGCACTATAAATAACTTTTTTCATTTAATGTCCTAAAGATTAATGGGAATATAACCACAAAATTGGCCCATTGCTGTTGTAGGTATCCATGTTGAGGAAGACTTCAGTCGTCTACTGAAAAAGTGATTATTCTGAAAGGGAAAAAAGAGAATTCAAAATGGCAGCTCTTTGCTATCTGTATCCAAATTCATTTACCTGGCAGTGGCTTGGTCTCCCTTAGTCTCTGTGATGGATTTTGTATTCCATTTAAAAAAGTAAGTGCGACACCAACCCAATTCCTTTGCCTACATGGATAGAGGGATGATGCCTGTATATTTGTTTCTGCCTTGGAAATATTTCTTAAAGTGACAAGTGTGTGTGAAAATTTTTCACCTGAGTTCAGCTAGGACAGTTTAGTCAAAGACAGAGTAGTTATTTTCCTTCTCCTGTCTTTAGTGCAAGAGTAGAAGAATGAGCCTATTGAGAGATGTCCTATCCTCTTTTACCTATATGCCTGCTGCAATTTCTTGAAATATTTCTAAAGATAAGCATTTGTGCCTTTGGGAAGATTTTGTGGATTGTCGACTTTCTTCTCTTTAATGTTAAAATCAGCACATGTTCTAACTCCGTACTCCTGTATTCCTGTCAATTACCCAGTTATCGGTTCTTGAAAGGGCAAGGGATTAACATTTTGGATGGCTGGTGTCTGAATTGTTTTCCTTGAAACTTAAATATAATTCAGTTGTATAGATAATAAACAGACAGTTCTTTTGATAATTTTATACCTTAAAATCCTTTATCCCCTGGATGCAATAGATGGTCTTTTACAAGTTCTGTTACTAGGTAACAGAACTGCTCAGTAGAATGTTTTGTTCAGTTCTATTCAAAGCTTCACAAAATGGAATCTTGGATATTTTAAGAGTGCGATTTTGTTTTGTTTGGACTATTATTTAATGAGTGGTAGAACTGAAAATTAATGCAAGTAATCAAGGCTTGTCTTAATTTGAAAGATTCAAGAGTTCTGGTTGTATTTCATGAAAAAAGACCACCCAAATTTATCTACCTATTTATTTCATGCTATTCATAGAGCCCTCCAAAATGAGTCTTCTTCATAAGCAGTCCCCCAACTTTTCTGAGTTTACAGACTGGCAGTGGTGGCGGGAGCAGAGGAGATGTTTTTGCACGTACAGTGGGTGAGCAGGCGAAAGCATGCAGCTCTATTTGCGCAAGCGGAACTGCGCGTGTTCGCCCACGTGTCTACCACACATACAAGTGGAACTGTGTGCATTCACCTGATTGCCCGCCACTTGTGCGGCCCAGTTCTGAATGGCCTGCAGCCTGGTACCAGCCCAGGAGTTGGGGATCCCTGTTCTTGATAACACTGACTATTGCATCATCTGTGTATACTCTATAGCCGTGAGAGGGCACACAGAGTCCTCTCTGTGGGCACACGCGCTGTTACCAGCTGTTCTTCCGGGTTACTCTGTGCGCATGCGCACTGGAATCCAGAAGAGCAGCTGGCTGCCACGCACATGCACACTCTTCTGGGTTCCGGTGGTGCTGAAAAGGTTAGCCGTCACTGCTCATAGAATAGCCATTCACCTCAAGTTCCTTATGACTTTGATCTTGCCATCCTTTAGAAAGGCCTTAAACGAAGCTATTCTGACAGGCACTGGGCCAAAACGTTGGAATCAGTGGTGGTATTAAGTCAGTTCTATCCAGTTCGGGTGAACCAGTGGCGGCTGCAGGAGGCTCCGCCCACCACGTGGACGTGATAACGTTCTTTTTTTGACCCTGCAGATGCGCGAAAGGCCCTGTGCATGTGTGGAGATGGCGTGTGTGAGTGAAGCACACGCACTCCCATTTGTGACCCGGTAATGAAGTTAAGTGAATACCTGTTTGGAATGTTTATGTTTGATGTTTTATCTTTGCTATTGTAGATGTTATTGCCTTGTCAATTCATTTTTAACGCTCTTGTAATCTGCTTTGACTCATTGTTGATTGGATAACCCTATAAATTGAATAAATAATTAATATAAAACTGGGAGATGTAGAAATCAACTTCAGATATAAGTCTTTAATTGTAATAGTTTATATGTGAACTTGATAGAACATGAAGTTTCTTTTGCCTTCTTATCATGAGAGATTTTTTTTTTTTTCAAATTGGTATTCACTAGAACTGGCATATTATCTTAGTATTAATTCCAAATAACTTTTTAACTTTCTTAAAGCTGAATGTATGTAGGAAACAGAAATAGCAACTTTAAACAAAAAAAGCACAAAAACTTATATAGGGATGGTTTTGAAATATTACTTCTCTTTCCATTTTTGAATTAAATTGGATTGTTATTTTATTTTTACCTCTTCTTTTATATATATGTATTTTGTCAACTCAAAGTAGCAAACCAGGGGTGAAATTCGACCGGTGCGGACCGGCTCGGGCGAACCGGTAGGGATGATTTGAATCAATTCGCCGAATCAGTAAAAACCACCCCTGCTTGGTTCCACCCACGCCCACCCGGTCCCTGCTCACCCCTTCTGGCCGCTCGACCCGTTCAACGTTAAATACTACAGCAGAGAGAATCTGAACTTTTCTCCCTCCATTCACAGCGGAGCTGCTGCAGCCTGTTTCTTTAAGGTACTTCGACCCCCATGAGGGAGGGGGCCAGGGGGGGACCATAAAGGGAGCAACAGCTGTGCTGTGAATGGAGGGAGAAAAGTTTGGATTCTCTCTGCCACAGCATTCACTATTAGCCCTTCTGGTCCTCATTCACACATTTTTTCCTACCAGGTTCTGTGGGTGGATCATGTGGCTTAGTGGGGGGGATCATTTGAGTGGGAGTGGCCATGAGTGACATCAAATTGGCCACACCCAGTCAGTCACAGGATCCCCCCCATCAAGCCACACCCACAGAGCTGGAAGGAGAAAAATGTAAATGTCACCACTGTAGCAAACATATTTAATATTCCTTATGTCTCCTATTTTCCCCATGACAATAGCCCTGTGAAGTGGGATGGGTTGAGAGAGTGAGTGACTGGTTCCTTTCATTCTTAAGGTAGGACTAGAATTCACAATATGTAATTATTATATAATTATTCCAATTGAAGTACAGTTTGAATTGGCATAATTATATAATCCCCAACAATTCTAAACTCCATATCAAATATATTGATTTATTCTTCTACATCATGGCCATTTAATTGTATATAAATATCAGTGATAGCATTTAGCTACTATCTTGGGATTCTGTACCATACAAGGCAGTGGTGAAATGATTTTTTTTTTTTTTTTTTGCTACCGGTTCTGTGGGTGTGGATTGGTGGGCATGGCTTGCTGGGGGGATGGTTATGTGACTGGGTGGGTGTGGCCAATTTTTTTTTTTTACTTTTTACATTTTTACAATAGGTAGTACATTTTTACTACCTATTCGCCCAAACCTGTAGTAAAAAAAATGCTGTAACAAAATAAAAAAAAAGGTTCTGATGATCACGCAGCACAGCTAATTGACACTCCTTGTAAAGCAGGGTGTCAAACTCAAGGCCTGGGGGCCTGATCCGGCCCATGGGGTGCTTAGATCTGACCCTCAGGGCTGCCCTGGAAACAGCTAAGCACTGGCCTGTGGTGCCTCTGCCAGAGAAAATGGAGCTGGGAGGCTGCAACCCTCTGCCAGCAAAAATGGAGCTCAGGAGGGCCGTGCGCAGCCCTCCTGAGCTCCATTTTCACTGGCAGAGGGTTGCAGGAGGCCGTCACAGCCTCTCAAGTTCCTTTTTTGCTGGCAGAGCGCTCGGGCCACCACAGACGCCAACACGAGTGACGTCAAACCGGCCATGCCTACCCTGGCCATGCCCACCCAGCCCCCAAGGTCAAACACAACCTTGATGTGGCCCTCAATGAAATCGAGTTTGACACCCCTGCTATAAAGCTACAAACAAGTAATTCTTCTTCCAACCTGTTCCTTATCCATAAATCTGAGATTATTTCTTTAAGAAATATATTCAGTTGAAAAATTGGGATTTGTTTTATTTTTTGTTTAGCCCATTCAGGCATAAATCTGCTGGGCTGCAGATATATCTGATTCCTAAAATGACTTAGAGAAGAGTCTGCAAAGAGACCTATTATCTCCAAGTTCTAAGGAGTGTTGAAGTCATCAGTAGTCTTCTATCCCAAAAAACCTCTGATGGTTTGTACCTTGGGGTTTTTGTACCTCTGATGGTTTGTAATTTGTATAATTAAGTCAAAATGATCTACCAGTAACTGATAGAATAATCTGATGTGTATTGCCTCTCATTATAAAATATGGATAGAAACATTTAGCTTTATAGATTACAGTTTTAGGAGATGGCAGAATTAGGCAGGGATTGACACAAAACAGGTGTGCTGAAATAAGGATAAACTATTTCTGAAGTATCTTTTTTAAAGATTTTCTTTATCTTGTCTTTATTATTTTTATAAATAATTCAAGACGGCAAACATACATCATATTCCTTCCTCCTCCAGTTTTCCCCAAAACAACAACCCTGTGAGCCAAGTCTCAACCAATCCAACCCATCTCACAGGATTATTGTGGGAAAAATGGGAAGAGGAAGGAGTGAGTATTAGGTATATTCAAAGTCACCCAGCTGGCTTTCATGCTATGATGGGACTACAACTCACCTTCTCCTGGTTTTTTAGGCCAGCACCTTAACTACTGTCTTCTTTTGGATCCACTATAGCAATCTGTCTTGTTTTAGATTCCATTCCACTCTGATGTTTTAACACATTATTGGCAAGTATAAACTATATTATCCCAGATTACGATAAGACAAAAATGACTGAAGACTTTCTCCAAAAGAAGGGAAAAAAATGATTTTTAAAAAATCCTGCCTATCACTTTTCTGTGTTTGCAAGGTGACATTTCTTGAGGGAGAAGGAAATACTTGGACTTGCACTAATGGTTTTGAATAGTACTGGGAAATAGCAAAGCACCTAAACTCAGTAGTGAAATAAAAACACTTTTTTTTCTAAAGCAGGATTGGGGAACCTTGGCCCTTGACTTCAAGCCCATGTTTGGCTCAGGAATTCTGGGAGCTGAAGTCCACAAATCATAAAAGGGCCAAAGTTCCCCACCCCTACTCTAAAGCGTTTAAAAACCAGATTAAAACTCCAAGATCAGTATTAAGTTTAGATACTGGTTACATACTGTGTACACATGTAATATTTATTCTGGACAGCAAGATATATACTGTATTTCTTTAAAAAAAAAAACTAATGATGCTTATGACTGTTATAATATATTTAAAATACATTAGTTTAGCTACCTGCCTTCCTTTCTTCCCTGAACTATAGATTAGAGGTGCTACAAATGGACTCCTGCATATTTTAAAGGAGCTTTGACGCATGAAAATAAGGGGTGGATTTTCATGGTTTACTCTCTTTAAAATATTTCTTTGGTGCTGATTGGATAAGCAGGCTTAGCAATTATTTGGGGGAGACGGAGTGCACCCCCATTGGAAAGCCAGTCATAGGATCTTCCAAGATTTGCTGCAGCAATTCAGAGAGCATTGGTGCTTTTTGAATGCAAGTAGGATTTGGACTAAGACTAAAATCTTCTTCCCCAAATATGTTTATTGAGACATTGCTATCTTAAGATGGAATACAACTCATAATTTTATGAATACATAAAAGGCATATCCTTAGTGACCTAGCAGAAAAAGATGGCTTATAAATATAGCATTAAAATAAATGACTGTGTATGCATAATAATGGGGAACATTTGCTCAAACTGAAAGAAAACAATATATTTTCATTTCCTACAATTGTTAACTGTTGTTGTCAAACACTGTAAAAACTTCAAGGTCACTAAGTAACTCTAA